CCGATGCATCGCCGCCGTCGTCGCGCACTTCGAGGCGCGCCGGCGTCGTCGCACCATTCGCGCAGATTCATTCGCAACGCACTGCCCGAGGATTGCGAGTCGGACGAACCACTTCCGAGTGCCGCGTGCGCAGCGCAATGTGCAGGCCAACCGTTCGCGGTTTCCCATCCCATTTGGGATGTTTAACCGCTTACGGTTGCCCTGCATCTGGTCGGTCTGGAAAGTGGCGCGCTCGCTCGCCGACCGATACATCGCCGTCGTCGCCGAACACATCGAGCTGCGTCGGCACCGTCGCATCGCCCATGCAGATCGATTCGCAGCGCCCGAGGAATGAGAAGCGAGGCGGGCGATGAACTGCTTGCGGCACGCGCGCAGCACAATATGCAGGACCTCCGTGCGCAGTTTGAAATGCCACTGTGGAGTTTCAAACCGCTGCTTGCCCTGCATCTGGTCGGTCTGGAAAGTGACGCGCTAGCTCACCGACCGATTCATCGCCGTCATCGTCGCGCGCTTTGAGGCGCGCCGGCGACGTCGCATCGTTCGTGCAGATCGATTCACAGCGCCCGAGGAGTGAGCGGAAAGCGATTCACTGCCGAGTGGCATGTGCGCCACGCAATGTACCAGGCAACCATGACCAGTTTGAAAGTCCACTGTGGGATTTCAAACCGCGCACGGTTGCCCTGCATCTGGTCGGTCAGGAAAGTGGCACCGCGCTCGCGCTTCGACCGATGCGTCGCCGTCGTCGTCGCGCACTCTGAGGCGCGTCGGCGCGGTCGCATCGTTCACGCAGATCGATTCGTCGTGCCCGGGGAGTGAGATGCGGGCGACTCGCTGCCGAGCGACACGTTAGCAGCGCAATGTGTAGGACAACCATGCGCGGTTTGAACTTCCACTTGGAACTTCAATCCGCCGACGCTCGCCCAGCATCTGGTCGACCGCACAAAATGGCGCGCTCGCTCGCCGAACGATGCATCGGCGTCGTCGTCGCGCACTTCGGGGCGCGCCCGCGCCGTCGCATCATTCATGCAGGGCGACTCGCAGCGCCGATGGTTGCCCTGCATCTGCTCGGTCTGAGAAACGGCGCGCTCGCTCGCCGACAGATGCGTCGCCGTCGACGTCGCGCCCTTCGAGGCGTGCCCGCGCCGTCGAATCGCCGACGCAGATCCGTTCGCAGCGCCCGAGTAGCGCCCGAGGAGTGAGAGGCGGGCGAACCACTTCCGGGTGACATGCACGCAGCGCAATGTGCAGCGTCGTTCTGGAAATGGCCCGCTAGCTTGCCGACCGATGCATCGCAGTCGTCGCCGAGCACATCGAGCTGCGCCCGCGTCGTCGCATCGCCCATGCAGATCGTTTCGCAGTGCCCGAGAAGTGAGAAGCGAGGCGGGCAAATCACTTCAAAAGCGGCATGCGCGCAGCGCAATGCGCAAGGCAACCGTAAACGGCTTGAAATTCCGGTTGAAATTTCAAACAGCCCATGGTTGCCCTGCATCTGGTCGGCGCGCACTCGATCGCCAACCGATGCATCGCTGTCGTCGTCGCACACTTTGAGGCGCGTCGGCGTCGCCACATGGTTCGTGCAGATCGGTCCGCAGAGCCCGACGAGTGACAGGTGGGCGAAACACTGCCGATTGGCACGTGCGGAGCGCAATGTGCAGGGCAACCATGCGCGGTTTGAAATCCGACTTGGAATTTCAAGCCGCTCACGTTCGCCCTGCATCTGATCGAACTGAGAAGTAGCGCGCTCGCTCGCCGAACG